CCCCGAGGGCGCGAGACACGTGCCGAGGGAGCCCGGCAGGCACGAAATCAGGGCTGCCAGCGGGACTGGGCGGCTGGGGCGCGCCGGGCGCAGTGCCAGGCGCGGGGCGGGGGAGGGCAGGAGAGACCTGGAGCAAGCCAGAAGAAGGACAAGGAGGAGAAAAAGCAAGTGGCAGGGGCCACGGGGTGCCAAGTGTTTACTCATAGGACACCGCTTTTAATCTCAAGAGGATTCTGTGAGGCAGGATTCCTTATTCCCATTTTACAGACGGAGGAGGATCGGAGAGGAGCTGGCAAGGAAGTGGTAACTATGGGATTCTTGGAGTCCCTCCGTTCAGCCCCCAGTACTCAATATGTGCCAGGAGCCACAGGGAGCCATATTTTCTCAAAGGAAATCAGGGAGGACTTTCCGGTGGAGGAAGCACCTCCCCGAGCCTGTAGGGAAGAGGACAACGATTTCTGAAGGAGCTAAGGAAAGCAGGAAGCAGGGTGGATAAACCCCGTGTTTAATGGGGCTGCCTCTGCTGCGGTAAAGAAGAAGCTGGAACACCCTCCCACTTACCCACTTGACCCCGCCCCCAGAACTTGATAAACGCGGGGCTTTGGCCTCTGTGACTTGGGAGCCTAGACTGAGCACAAACCTTAGGCACGAGTTTTTCCCAGTGTACCCTGTTTTCCCTCTTGATTGCAAAGTCTGCTGGTCCTGCAGTGTGGAGATCACTGGAGTCCAGAGAACTCCACACAGTGAATAAAAGCACGACTGGGATGTCAGACAGCTTTGTTCTTCGAATCTGGTCTGGGCTCTGCTACTTGTTGGTGACCTTTGCAATGACCCCTAACACCAACCTTTCTGTGCTTCAGCATGCAGGACTTGAAGGGGTGGTACCAGTCCACCCTTCCTCTGATGTCCTGAGAATGAAGCAAGGTGATTTGTGTGAAGTCCAGTATTGGGCTCAGATAATGCCCACCACTGTCATGATTACATTACCACATCACCACTAAGAGTGTTGAAGTCCCAGGACAGGAGGACACCACAGTAGGAATCAGGGTGCTGGTGTCTAGTCCCAGCTCTGCCATTCACTGTGTGAGACCAGACAAACCACTCCGGCCTCTGTGCTATTTTGTTCTCTGTGAAAGGGAGGTTGGTTCTGCCCTTGTGCTGTTCCCTTCCCTCCCCATGGGCCCCAGTTAAGAAGCTCCTACCCTATAAGGATAGAACCCAGGCCCCTCAGGGAAGTGAAGTGGAAGAAGGTCACACTCCTGGTCTGGCTGTCCCCTATCTTGAAGTGGAAGTCTGATTCATGCTGTCCTGGGCTTCAGCCTCCTGGGACTGAGCCAAGAGGCCTCTAGATAAATTGTGACCTCCTGCCCTGACCATGCCTTTCACATACACTCTACCCAGGTGGCCCTTTGAGCTGCAGTGTGGGTCATCTGTGCCTATTGCTAGTCCTAGTGTCCCCAACATTGATGTGTCAGGTTTCAAGGACACATCAGAGAACTGTTCATTATCTGGCCCCCAGAATTTC